GCATGTTATAGGATTAGAAAAAAAATTTAGGGTCAGTACTTACCGAGATATAAGGTGGCGAAGTTGGCTCTGGATGCTCACCTGTCGGCAACATCGATTCCTGCCGCTTGCAGAAGTGTTGCGGATATACCTTTTTTCTCGTTTTTATTTTAATTTATATACGTATTTTTTTTTGTTCTGATAATTACAATTTATAATAGTTCTTGTGATATCATAGCCAATCTTTGTTCTGACACTAATATTAGGTACTGAAATAGTCCTCAGATAGTCACAATCACATTGACAAGTGGACAGGTGAACGTTTACACCTGCCTGGGTTATTTACTATTGTCTAGAAATATATATAAAGTATTTATAGGTCCCAGCAATGTTTTTAGACACCCTGGCGTATACCCTGAAGCATAGTGTTATGAAAGGCCCGGTGGCCTGGTGGCTAAAGCTCCCGCTTCACACACGGAGGGCCCGGGTTCGATTCCCGGCGGGTGGAAACATTTCGACACGTTTCCTTACACCTGTTGTCCTGTTCACCTAGCAGCAAATAGGTACCTGGGTGTTAGTCGACTGGTGTGGGTCGCATCCTGGGGGACAAGATTAAGGACCCCAATGGAAATAAGTTAGACAGTCCTCGATGACGCACTGACTTTCTTGGGTTATCCTGGGTGGCTAACCCTCCGGGGTTAAAAATCCGAACAAAATCTTATCTTATCTTATATACTGTTGACAGCCCAGTGACATTTGATAAATGCCCACTGCTCCAGCTAACCCTCACTGTATTTGTTATCACTGTTACACACAAATATGTCTGTCTGTCTATCTGTCTGTCTCTGCTTATCTGACTTTCTGACTGCCTGGAGTATATATGAAACTCCTTGAAGAATGGTTATGACATCTGTTGACAGCCCAGTGACATTGATAAATGGGCACTCAGAGAACCGGGCTTTATTTGTTTTCAGTGATACACACAAACATGTTTGTCTGTCTGTCTGTCTGTCTATCTTTGCCTGGAACTTTTGGGTTATCATAGGTAATTTACACTATGTATAATAACTGTACTTATGTGCACATGTGAGACAGATATAGACAGACAGATATAGATATAGACAGATATAAACAGATAGTGATATAGGCAGAGAGACAGCCAGAGACAGCCAAAGCCAGCCAGCCAGCTGGCCAGCTTGCCGAATAAATAACATAAGAAAAAAGAAACACTGCAGCAGGCCTACTGGCCTATGCAAGGCAGGTCCATGTCACCCCCCCTCTCCCCTCAACTTAGACCAATGACCCACCTTGTCAGGTCACATCCACTGAAGGAAGGAGCATGACATCAGACCTAGTAGCACAAGCTAGTCAGGTCTAACTCACATCCACCCACACTCACTCATGTATTTATCTAACTTATTTTTACTTTTCTCTTAAAAGGGGAGTGTTAATGTGACATGGCATCAGTGAATCCCCGGTGTTTGCCACGCTATTTGCTCTAGCTGGTGCTCAGCTGAATTGGTGCTCCCACAAGGTACTAAGTGCTGCCAGATTTTTTTAACACTGTGCACAATGAATGCACAGACCCATTCTTTCATGTCTAGGCGACTCAAGCCTATTGTGCCAAATTTGAAGGAATGAAAAATAAAACATTGATCTACATTGGGAGCTCTACGCATACAAACATAGATCTATGTTTGGACAGTTTAAGGGTTAATGTTTAATGATATACACCTACCATCCGACTTACGACCGAGTTCAATTCCGAGAAACCGGTCGTAAGTCGAAATGGTCGTAAGTCGAACTTTACTACTGAATATCAACAAAACATTTTTGTAATGACTTTATTTTATTGTTTTATTTTGGTATTTCACGTTTTACTTTACTTTTTATGCTGTTAGTACTGTATTTTATACTGTAAGGTTTAGGATAAACACTTTGTACAACACAAATAGCTGTTTATTTCCCAGAAATTTGGCATAAAAAACACGGTCGTAAGTCGAGTGGTCGTAAGTTGCGCAGGTCATAAGTCGGATGGTATGTGTATATACTAGCTTTTTATAATAAAGGATGTGTTTCAAACTGTTTTAGCATTTTAAACATTGCTTCACTTGGAATAATCAGTATATACCTAAGGAATGACTGGTTTTTATTTTATTTTTTTTGTTTTTACTATTTTGGTCTTCTATGGCAACATACAGAGAATACTTATAGCATTACAATTGTTTCATGCTGAAAAACTCCTCAAAACATGGAAATAAGTCATAAAGATTAATTTCACTGGGTTATGTATACAGTATATAAACGTACTTTATAAATTGTTTTACATGATGGTAGGATTGCTGGTGTCTTTTGTTTTCTGTCTCATAAACAAGCAGGATACCAGGTATATCTCACTACTTCTACTTAAGTCACACTACACATTCGTGTAGGTATGACTCAACCCCTGCAACCACATATAGGTGAGTACATATAGGTGAGTATACACACCTCCAGGTTTTCTTCTATTTTCTTAACCCTTTGACTGTCAAGACCTCAAATCCTGAAGTGTCTCTCCGTGTCGCAAAACATTAAAAAAAAAAAAAAAAAAAATTATGAAATGATAGAGAATCTTTTCCCGGTGGTAATGACACCAAAAATATGAAATCTGATCGATAACTTATGGAGTTACACTCTCGTGAAGTTAGCGATCTCGGCAATATATACGCATCGGCGATTTCACCCACTGTGAGCCCTATTTTCGGCCAATTCCATTGTTCCGGTTGACCAAACTCATAGCTATTTCTTTAGAACTCCATTTGTTCTATCGACTGAGTACAAGTAATTGCCCATTTACTGATTTCAATTACTCAATAAAGAGGTCAAAAATTGGCAATTTGGCCAATTTCATGCAAATAAAAAAAAATGCCAATTTCAAAATAGGGTCCACAATGAACAATGTAGACATTCCTGGCACTAAAATAACATTTTCTCTGTTCATTAGTCACGTCTCAAGGCCCCTTTTATATTACTCTTGCTTTCTATTTTGAAATTTTTATTCACACAAAAGATAAGAATTACTGCATTATTGAACGTTTCCGCTACTTTGAGCTCAATTTCAAGGTTCTTTTCGTCATGAAACCAATCAATACTATACCATAAATACTATACCATAAATACTATACGAAAATAGAAAGTTAGCGTTTTAATTCAAAAACATAGTTGGAGTTTTTTTCTCATTATGCACTGTATGCTGCAGGTTTTTTTTTATACTGCGCACACTGACCACACAGACCCATTCTCTCACATGTGGGCCTACCAGCTTTCTCCTGCTTGATATGAAGCCGCTAGAATTTTGGCGTATTAATGTATCACCGACACTGGCTCATAAGATGTATACATATGACACCGACAGTAAAAGGTTTAATAGTTCTTGTTTATTTCCTCTTATATCCATGGGGAAGTGGAACAGAATTCTTCCTCTGTAAGCCATGTGTGCCTTAAGAGGCAACTAAAATGCCAGAAGCAAATGACTAGTAACCCCTTCTGTATACAATTACTAAATTTCAAAAGAGAAACTTTCATTTTTCTTTGTACATCACCCTGCCTCGGTGGGATACGGCCGGTTGCTGAAAAATATGTACTTCATAATTATTTTTTTTATTATTTTGGTCTTCTAAGGCTATGTATACTGAACACTTATACTATTATAATTATTTCAGAGTGTGTTACACATCATAATATAGAAATTATTCACAATGTATGACTTCACTGCATTATCCTGGGTTATACCTAGTGTGTTTTGAGGCTGAATTCCAATGTTAGTATCATGAAACTGTAATACATTTGGAATAAATACGTCATCTTTGAGCCACCTGCACACCCTGCTTGCTGGCAGGGAAGTTGGTAGTGGAGCAACAGCTTCTGGTTCCTTTGTTTTCTTTTGGCAGCAAGGCATACTAATACATCACACACAGTCATCCCCTGAGTAGTTAACCATAATACAATGTGTGGACACTGTTGGCCTTAGGTTTTTTCAAATGTATGGATAGATGGAAGAAGACCCCAAGAGTTGCCCCGAGGTAAAAAATATTGGCAGGTGGCAGATTTGTGGGTACGAAAAATGGTGCATACTTGTACGTCCAACACAGCACTAACACCTTCTTACTAGTACTTCAGACACAGTTAAAGGATTAAAATGCAGGCACTGTACATCCCACCTACAGGATTCAAGTCTGGCTAACCAGTTTCCCTGAATCCCTTCATAAATGTTATCATTCTCACACTCCCATAGCATGTCAAATCACAAAAACTACTCAAGACATCTGTTGAAAAGAAAGTTTGTCTATGGAGGAAAAAAATAATGCTCCACAGTATAGCAGTACCAACACTCATATGAGTGAGAGACAGGAGTTTTGAATGTTGCAATGAAGCAGCAGCTAGAGGCAGGGAAGAAATGTCATGTTTGAGAAAAATGTGGTATGAATATTATGTAAAGAATTCAGAGAGAAATTAGAAGACAGTGTGGGGTCATCATAGAAATAAACCAAGGGTAATGAGGAAGGGTTGTTGAGGTGGCATGGACATTTCGAGAGGATGGAGAGGCAATAGAATGAAGAGGGTGTATAAATCTGGAGTGCAAAGCCAAATAGAACTGTGGCTGGTGCTGGTGTAATTCTAAAAACTCTATGGGGAACCAAGTCAGTAGTAAAGGAGACTGAGTGTCAGGGGCTCAAGCATACAGCAAGCCTGTGTGAGTACATTAGACTGGAGTGGAAACAAGCAGGTTTTAATAGATGAGCTATTGAAAGTGCGAGAAAGGTAACATTTATGAAGAGATTTGAGTAAAGTCCTGAAAGCAGGCAGAGCAGTGAGTGCCTGAACTCTCAAGGAGGGAGTGGAGGTGTTGCAGTTTGAAAGACCATCTAAATTGTTATGTAAGAATGCTTCTGGCAAAACAGAGATTAAATGAATGATACTGAATATGTTTTCTTTTTTAGGTCACGCTGCCTTGGCAGGAGAGGGCTGATGAGAGGAAAAAAAAAGGAAAAATGTTTAGTCTAATTAAATAAGCTAACCTGTAAAATAGTCTCAAAGTTGAAGGTAAGACCATTCCAGAGTGTGAACTCCCCTGAAGATGCTCCCGTTACCAGGCGACGTCCCTCTGGTGTCCATGCCAAACAAAAGATAGGGCACTGAAAATTATATAAAATATAAATTTTCATTTATAGTATATTTTCTATATCAATTACCAGGTCTAATGCCAAGCTACTGCAAAACTTCCTATGTACAGCACAGTCAACAGCAATAAACACAAAATACTGTACAGTAAAACCTCTCAATAATAGACAACCGGACGAACATAAATAATTAATTTCATAATTCGGAAGTTTCAAACAATCATCAATACCATATAACCCCCTTCCCCCTGAGTCCATTAATTAGAGGATTCACTGTGATCTTGTATGATTACCAGTACAATAGAACCTCGGTATGTGACCTTAATTCATTCCAGAAGGCTGTTCGAGTGCCGCTCCGCCCGAGTATCGAACAAGTTCTTCCCAACCAATTTTCTGTTTGGTTGGCTGTTATCACTAATCGTCGTAGGCCCCATGGTGACTTATTTATACCAATACAAAAAAACACCAAAAAATGAGAAGAAACACGAAATAGTTTACAGCGAAGTTCTGGCAGGTCGTACTTGTTTGGTCGAGTGCTGAGCCTTGTTCGAGTAGGGAGCTGGTCGTATACCGAGGCTCCACTGTACTTTGTTTCAAGTATGTATTGTTATAACATTATGGTAAAACTGGAACAAATAGTGAAAATGGCAAGAATGTTGACATGTGGCACCTTAAAATGTTATGACCTATGCACTTTCAAGGGGCAATAGAAAACTAGCAATAATGTAATTGAAAAAAGTATTCTGTTTTTCATTACCTTTTTTTTTTTTAACACATCGGCCATTTCCTACCAAGGCAGGGTGACCTGAAAAGAAAGAAAAACCCCAAAAGAAAGAAAAAAACCTTTTATCATCATTCAACACTTTCACCATCATTCAAACATAATCACTGCCTTTGCAGAGGTGCCCAGATATGACAGTTCAGATATCCCCTCCAAAATGCGAATATCCTAAACCCCTCCTTTAAAGTGTAGGCATTGTACTTCCCACCTCCAGAATTCAAGTCCGATTAACCGGTTTTCCTGAATCCTTTCACAAAATATTACCCTGCTCACACTCCCAACAGCTCGTTACGTCCCAGAAACCATTAGTCTCCATTCACTCCTATCCAACACGCTCATGCACACTTTTTGGAAGCCCAAGCCCCTCGCCCACAAAGCCTCCTTTACCCCCTCTCTCCAACCATTCCTAGGGCAACCCCTACCCCGCCTTCCTTCCCCTATAGATTTATACACTCTCCAAATCGCTCTTTGTTCCATCCTCTCTTAATGACCAAATCACCTCAAGAACCCCTCTTCAGCCCTCTGACTAATACTTTTAGTAACTCTACACCTCGTAACTTCTGTGCATAACATTTACACCACACATTGCCCTTATCCATGACATCTCCAATGCCTCCAGCCTCCTCCTCCTCCTCCTTCAACATTTACAACTCATGATTCACACCCATATAAGAGTGTTGGTACCACTATACAGTGGACCCACAGTTTTCATAATTAATCCGTTCTAGAGAGAGGGACTAAACCCAAATCTGACAAATTACGAATTAATTTTCCCTATAAGAAATGGAAATCCAATAAATCCGTATCAGACACCCAAAAGTATTAACCCTTTCAGGGTCCAAGGCCCAAATCTGGAGTCACGCACCAGTGTCCAAGAATTTAAAAAAAAAAAAAATTGTTATTTTTTCTTATGAAATCGTAGAGAATCTTTTTGTGAAGGTAATAAAACAAAAAGTACGAAATTTGGTGGAAAATTGACGAAATTATGCTCTCGCGAATTTTGATGTGTCAGCGATATTTACGAATCGGCGATTTTGCCGACTTTGACTCCCATTTTAGGCCAATTACATTATTCCAATCAACCAAATTCTTAGCTATTTCACTAGTATTACTTCTATTCTATCCATTGAGCACAAGAAATCGCCAAGTCAACTGTTTCAACTACAAAATAAAGTGATCGGAAATTGTTAATTTGGCCAATTTAACACAAAGTTTAAAATATTCCAATTTCAAAATAGGGTCCAGAATGAACAATGTAGGCATTCCTGGCACTAAACTAACATTTCCTCTGTTCATTAGTTATGTTTTGAGGCTTTACAAATAAATTCCATTTTGATTTTTATTCACATATGAATTTTTATTCACACCAAAAAAAATAGAGATTTACTGTTATGCAATACTGAATAATTGTATAAATATCATCACCATATTTGTGAATGTATATTAGACCCACCAGCTGACGTGTATTTGACGTGTGAGGTCGTTTGTTTACTCTTGAATATCGGCAAAAATTTAACATTTCTGCTACTTTGAGCTCAGTTTCAAGCCATTTCCAGTGCTAAAACCAATCAAAATCATCTCTATTTCTGTAATAGGGTCTTTCATTCTATCAAGTGAGACCAAGAAATCGCAAATACAACTATAAAAAACATACGAAAAAACACTGCAAAGTTGCTGTTTTAATCGAAAAATCATGATTTCATTTTTTTTCTCTCATTATACACAGTGTGCTGCAGGATCTGTTTTATGTGGTGCACACATACCAAATAGATGTATTCTCTCATATCTAGGCCCAAATGTACCACTCACAGTTTATCAGAGTGAGCTGAGCTCATGGCGTAGATCTACGGTTTGGACCCTGAATGTAAAGCCGTAGATCTACGGGACGGACCCTGAAAGGGTTAAAAAAAAAATTCTACATGAAATATACATTTACCTACACAGAAAACAATGATACATGAAGAATAAAATAATAATAACATCACACTTTCCTTTATTGAAGACATGGTGATGCATGGAAGACAAGAGGAGGGGAGAATATGGAGGTGTTTACAACTGTTTGGAAGGGGAATCCCCTTCCATGAAGCCTTCAGGTACAAAGTCCTTATCCTGGGTTACTTCTCTTCTTTGTTTTTTAATGCCACTAAGACCATTTTGAGAGTCACTGGACCCGTCACTCAAAAAAGTGCTCCAGAGAGGTCTGTTTCTGGCGTATATTAGGAATTGTGTTGGGAGACAGGACAAGATAGTTCTTCAATATGACACTAATATCAGTGCTACGGCTTATTTATCTAGCAAAATTCATCTAATATGACATAATAAACAATATTAATAACATAGAAACATTACATACTCTAGAATGAATAAAATATGGCATTAAGAATGTCATGAGTGGTGGTGTGTTGTTTGTTGTTGGATGTATAAGGGCCACTGAAAGATAAGCCTTACATAGTGGTGGTGAAGGCGGTGGTGTTAGTCAATAGCCCTATACACCTCAAACAACAATGGAGGAGTCAGTTTCATGCTGTCCTTTTTCTATCAATTAATTGCTTAACTTACTTCCTACACTGTTAATGCTACACTTTACTGCTTTAGTATCGTACATATTGCAGAATCACTGAAAAAGGCACATTCTCCCTTCTCTCTCAGCCCTTTACCATAGGGCTGACTGGCACTAGGAACTTTCTTTGGGCCCATGGTGGCTTATTTAGCAGTTGCGAGCACTAAAAAGAATGGAATACAAAATATATCGTATGAACATGTGGGATTGTCCTCACTTGCTAATAAACACTGGCACACTGGCTGTAAATGGTATGTTGGACCACTTGGGCCACGCAGACACGTCAGGACGAATGACTAATACCGAGTTCAATTACGATCACCGAGAAAATACTTTGACGAAAAAAAAAATACTTATTCCGAATATTATGAATTCCGATGACGTAATCTGGGGGTCCACTGTACTCTCTTACATTCCCTTCTTTGCCTCCATGGATAATGTTTTTTGTCTCCACAGACACCTTAAAGCACCACCCACCTTTTTTCCTTCATCAATTCATAAACCCATCTGCTGACAAGTCAACTCCCAAATATCTGAACACATTCACTTCTTCCATACTCCCTCCCATCAATGTGATATCCAATTTTTCTTTATCTAAATCCTTTGATACCCTCATCACATTACTCTTGTCTCTGCTCACATTGAACTTTCTACCTTTACACATCCTCCTAAACTCATCCACTAACCTTTGCAACTTTTCTTTAGAATCTCCCAAAAACACAGTATCATCAGCAAAAAGTAACTGTTTGAACTCCCATTTCATATTTGATTCCACATAATTTAATCCCACCCCTCTACCCAACATCCAAGCATTTACTTCTCTTACAACCCCATCTATAAATATGTTAAACCACCATGGTGACATTATGCATCCCTGTCTAAGACCTACTTTTACTGGGAAGTAACCTCCCTCTCTCTTACACACCCTAACCTAAACCTCACTATCCTCATAAAAACTCTGTACAGCAGTTAGTAACTTACTACCTATGCCATACACTTGTAACATCTGCCACACTGCTCCCCTATCTACCCTATCATATGCCTTTTCTAAATCTATAAATGCAATGAAAACTTCCCTACCTTTATCTAAATACTGTTCACAATATGATTCAATTTAAATACTTGATCTACACATCCCCTACCCATTCTAAAGCCTCCTTGTTAATCTGCAATCCTGTTCCCTGTCTTACCTCTAATTCCTTCAATAATAACCCTACCATACACTTAACCTGGTATAGTCTGTAAACTTATTCCCGTATAATTCTTACAGCCTTTTTTGTCTCCTTACTCTTTATATAAAGATAGCCTAAGATAATTTCTGTCCCTTACAAACAGAGAAAACAAGCAAAAGTTTATTTCTCTGCAAAGGTTACAACATGTGTTTATATTTCATAATTTGACTGGTACAAATAAAGCCACTATTATGCCAAGGCATTTCAGGCAGACTCAACCTAATACTTAAAGACTACTTAAGTCAACTATTAACCCTTTGACTGTCGCAACCCCCAATCTTGAGGTGTCTCCTGGTGTCGCAAAATTTAAAAAAAAAAAAAATTATTTTTTCTTATGAAATGATAGAGAATCTTTTCCCGATTGTAAAGACACCAAAAAAACGAAATTTGATGGAAAACTGACGGAATCATGCTCTCGCGAAGTTAGTGACATCGGCGATAT